GTACGGGGGAAAAAAAAAAAATCATCCCTGAAGATCCATGTGACTGCCGGGGAGGTGAGGACTGGGGTTTCCAGGGTGCAGGGGAGGGGTGGGAAGAAGCTCGTGGGTTTTGGTCTTTGAACCACCACTTTTAAACAGTGCAATTTGCTGAAAGAGAAATGAACTTCAAATGTCTTTTGGAAAAAAAAAAAATGGGGGGGAGGGAAAGGGGTTGAAGTCGCCATGCCACCGATTTCACCTTTGTCAAAAGTTTTGGAGCCTAATTTTTTTTTTCTTCTGTTGCTATATGAAAAAAAAGTCATTGACAAGAAAAAAAAACTTTATCAGCAAAATGTTTAAATTATGTAATAAACAAAACAAAACAAAGATGTTCCTGGTGTCATTTCAAAACAGCCCCAAGACTGAGCCAGCACGAAGAACGCAAGCACTGCTGGGAGAGCTGGTGGCCAAACTCACCCCAAAAAAGGGAGCTAGAGAAAATAAACCAGCAGGCAAGATCCAGCCAAAAGTATTCAGGATTTATTGACCTCCTCCCTTTCAAAAAACCCAACCTGTGGACAAATAAAGTCAGGTCCATAATACCTGTCCCTATGCTGTACAACAGGAGAAGGAAAACATGCCAGAGGCAAGAATACATCTCGCTTAAATAAAAGTATAAGGCAGAGATATTACTCGGTATATCTTTATCAAGCAAAAGCATGGACGCTGCTTTATCAGAGAATTAGAACTAACGAGGAGTGAGCCTGTCCCCAAAATGTCCTCCTCCATCCAGGACCTCCTCTTTCAGCACCACACAGGACAGAGGGCTTCAGCAGACTTGACGCCCAGCACCTGCTAGCTCCTCTTTCCCCTAAAACAGCATGTAAAGGAAGCTGGGAGCAGTGTCAGAGTGGAGCTGGACCCACAGGAAAGCCACAACTGGGTGAAGGGAGCACCATAGTCTTCAGCTCCTCCAAGTTCTGCTCAAATGTACAGTGGGAAACCCTGTGGACAACTACTTGAGCCTCTGAGAAACATCCAGCACCATGCAGGAGGGAGGGAGGGATGGAGGAGGGAATGGGCAGCACCAAACCAGAGGCAGAGATGCATTCAAGACCTCGTCAATATTTTATAATGAATCACATCAAGGCACTAGTACTCCAGCAGGATGGGACCCGGCTCTCAGACATGAGAGCTTGTAGCTGCAGACCCCTGGAGAAAGCCGCCATTCCTGTGACAAGCACTGCACGGTCCTGGGTGCTTGTGCTGAGGGGCCACCACCTTGCTTCTCCCAGGTTCTGGGAGACCCAGGAAACTGCCTGGTACCAAACTGGCCGGTCTTGAAAGGAAAGGGTGCACTTGGGTGTGTATGGGGATGGTAGGGAGACCTGTGCTTGCCCAGGAGGAGCTCTGACAAGAAAGCCATCCCTCAGGGGCTTTGGGACTTGAAGTGTGGGAGAAAGGGGTTCTCCCCTCCTGGCTGAAGGGAACAGGTAGAGCAGGAAAGACTTTCTATTTGAGGAGCCCCAACAGCTCTCCGCTAACCTGCTAGCCTGGGATCCCCTTCTTCCTCCATCCAGCACATCACTCTGAGCTCAAAGGCAGCTGGGACATTTTTTTTTTTTCCCCTTTAGCAAAACAGCGACCACCTAATTGAGAAGCACCATGGAAGACCTGCAGCTTTATGAAAAGGGGCATCAGTGGCACCTGATGCCAAATCTCCAAGCCACAGAAAAACCACAACAGCACCACTCCCAGCAAGGTGAAGACTGGGCAGGCTGTGAGAAGGTGAGGAGAAAGCCGTGTGAAGCATCACTGATGCCACAGCTCAAAACTCATCTCCCCCAGCTGCCACTTCACGCAGCTCGCTCCCTGCCTCCTGAGCTACCGAAGGCGAGGAAGACCCCACAGAGAACATGAAGAGGAGGTGGTGGTGGCAGTGTCAAAAGTAAGGACAGAGACTCTAGTCCTGTGTGTGACAGACCAGGCAAGGGGATCCACAGGGGGTGGAGAACCTCTCAGACGTGAACTTCAGGCTCTGAACTGTGCAAACTCCCAAGGTTGACACCAAGCAACCCCCGCCTACACCTCAGAGAAACATTGTAGGAACAGACTGTTCTTCAGCCAGTAGCACCTTCATGCAACCAGGCATCTCCTTACTCCTGTGACTGAGGGACGGACTACTTTGAAAATTCAGGGACTCTCCAGGGCCATCCTGATGATGTGAACTTCAGCCACCACACTGAACTTGAGGGTAAGGATCAGTTCAACACAGTCAAACATAGCCGGTCCTGCCGGGTTTGGGGAGGGCAGCTGGGCCAGGCGCTCCTGCTTTCACAGCCTGGCAGGCGCTGCAGCCTTTCCAGAACTCGCTCATGGCAATTCAATGGCTTTTGTGTTGTAGCAGCCTGGAGGAAGACTCCTCTGGATGTCCTCCAGGTTCTTAATATCTGCCAGGATCTCGTCAATGCTGCTCTCCAGTGTCTGCACCCGGGCCTTATGTAGCGTGGCTGTCTGCTCCAGCTCTGACATCTCATCCTTCAGCTGGTTGCTTCTGGTTTTGGCTTTGCTAAAATTCACCTCGAGCTGCCTCAGGCCATCCTCATCCATGGCACCAGGCTGGTCTGTTGCACAGGAGGAAAACAAGGAAGAAAGAACCATAGATGGAGGCTGAGGACTAGATCTTTCTGGATGCTTCAGCAGCTCCAGCCTGCTGCCCAGCCTGTTTACAGGCATCATCTGAGGCAACTTCCCACACAACTCCCAGCAACCCTGCCTAGACCCCATCAGGGACCTGTCTCCCTCCACGCCCTACAGTGGCAGCAAAAAACCTACTCATCAGATGCAGCAGCTCTTCCAGGGCACTCAATGTCTCCTGCATGACCACCCGTGCCTGGCCAGCCTTGGTGTGGACCCTCTGAGCTTCCTGAGCTGTCTGAAGAAGGCAACATGGCAGCTGTAAGGCCAAGTCTCACCCATACATCAACAGGGAAGGGGGCAAGGTGCAGGAGACGGGGACCCACCTCCTGTATCACAGAAGCATCCGCCTCAACCTCCGAGAGCTTCCTCTCAAATTCGCCATCCACTTCCTTGGCCTCGCGCTGCAGGGTGGCCACTGCCTTCTCTAGGGCGAGGACACCATCGGCTGTCTTGTTAGCTTCCATCTTCAGCCGTGTGATCTCCTAGGGAAGGCAAAGGGACTTTCAGAGGGGCTGAAATCCATCTGGGTGCACTGGGGCGTGGAGCTGGTGGAAACTGTTTCCTTCCACAGGAACCCAAAATCATCACAGGCTGTCCTGTATCCTTCATGTGCTCCCACCAGTTGCTCCAGAGTTGTTTCTATGATTACAGCTCAGCCCCTCCTGAAGATACCAGCTAATCCCTTGGGAGTCACAACACACAGTCTGGGAGTTGAACACACCAACACCAAGTCTGGGAGCTCACAAGCCTGCCAGCAGCTGACTGTCGAAGTGAAAAATCCCCTTGGTCACCAAAAGGTGGCTACAGAGAGATGCCACAGAGATCCTCACAGGACAAACATGCCTGCAGAGATACCCATGCACCCACTGACCTACAGCCAACTCTGTTATCTCTGCAGGATCCACTATAGACAAATGTCAGGCAAAAAAGTCAACACATCAGGTCCACCAGGAAGACCCATTGGAGTTGCCAATCACCTCCTCTTCATCCATGGTTTTCCTTTCCAAACCTTTTTCTGCCAGCAATAGCACCAGGGCTTGCCCTCACCTGCTGGATCCCCATGGTGATCTCCTTCGCTTCCCCTGCCACACTGCTGGCTGCCTTAGATTCAGAAGCAGCACTGCCCAGGATTGCTTCAGCTCGGTCCGTCTTCTCCTTGGCACTTGCGACCATGCTGCTTATAATCGGTAGCCTCCTCATGGCATCTTCAGCTTCCCTTCTCTTGTCATCTGCTTGCAGGTTAAACTCTGAAAGAAATGTGTGGAAATGAAGTTGTGCTACCTTTCTGAGATCCCACAAGGCAGGGGCGAGGACGGGATCCTAGGACTTTACCCCGGAGACTCTTCAGGATCTGTTCCACCTCGTAGAAGGTGGTGTTGCCAGCGCTGACGGCTTGCAGGGCTGTGCTCCTGGCAAGGTTGGCTCGGGACAGCAGCTGTGTCAGCATCTGTGACAGGCCAAAGGGACAAAACAGGCAGATGAAGGATGCTGTATGGGAGCATTGAACAGTCTCTCAACCAGCTCCAGCCATCATAAGTCATCTTAGCTTAGCTCTAATCTTTCCAGGAGCAGGTCTTCAACCTGCTTCACATGGAGGAGGTGCGCTGGTAAGATGCTGCACCACCAGCAACATGCACGTGTTGACGTCTCCCACCAGCTCCAGAAGACCAACCCCAAGTGGCTGTGTTTCCAAGGAAGGTGAACAGGCTAGGACAGCATATAGTAGTGGTGGTGCCACAGGCATCCTACCAAGGCTCCAGCTCATGCTGAAGACGACTCAAGCCGCAGGACCCCAGCCAACCTCTTACCGCTCTCTTGCCCTCTCCCCTCTGCAGCAGCTGCTTGATTTCTTCCTCCCAGCGCCCCATGCGACTCTGCAGCTGCCTGTACTGTGCCATGTAGGTGTCCACCAGGCTCAGGAGAGCACTGGCATCCTGCTTCAGCCGGGTTGCCTCCCCCTGAAACACAGATGCGATGACTGCCTGGGGGTCCCAGCATCTCCCTGGGAACCACAGCAAGCAGTGATGGATGCTTGTCTCTTGCTCCTTGAGCTGTGGCAAGCTATGGGGGCAAAAGTGTGGGAAGATACATATCCAATGGCTCCCTGACGGAGCCAGAGCCCTGGGAAGGGCTGAGCTGTTGGCGGGGAGGGTGTAGGGGAGAGCAAAAGGGGATCTCCTGGTCCCACAGACACAATGCCCTCACCTCAAAGGAGCTGATGTCAGTCTTCGTCAAGCGGGACAGGGAGTTGAGGAGCACCAGGCTTCCCTGATAAGCCCCATCTGCCTTGGAGGCCATCCCATCGGCCTCAGACTTCAGGTCTCCAGCCAGCAACTTCAGCTCCTCGTACCTGCATGGATGTGAGGTTGAAGAGCATGGTATCAGCCAAGCTGCCAAACCCCACCACAGCATTAATGCTGCCTCCTACATTGACTTGTTCACACTCACCAAGCCCTCTCCAGGGACCCACATGGATTTATCATGCCGGAAAAATCTAATTGCAACCCAGCCCCTCTGCCAAGCAGGGCATCCACTGGCTCCTTGTTCATGCCCCAAAATCCAAAGGTGTTTCACACCAGTTGAACCCTCACAGGCTCTGCAGTTGGCTCCGTTGATCCCTGCCCTACCAGTGGGTGTTTCTTCCTGCACATCCCCATTCAGCTCCTTAACTTCGTTCGAGGCCAGTAGTGTGCAAAGTCCCAGCACTGTGCTGCGCTCTGGAGGAGGCACCAGCCCAGCCAGGTGATGTGAGGCTAAATCTATCCTCAGGCTAAACACAGCCCAGATTTGAAACTGGGCACAGACTCACCCCCAGGAGCCTGTTCACACACATACATGGCGTTAAGCCCCTTCCCCCAGCTATGGGCTGGCCCCTGGCGACCATCATGGTCTGCGGGGTGGGAAGCAGATGCCCCACAGAGCTACCGATCCTCCATCTCCACCTCTCAGACATGCCAACAACTGAAGTCCAGGCAAGTCCCTGCCTGCCCTGCCTCCAACCACATGTTTCTGCAGCTCAGCTGGGGAGACAGGGAGGTGGGCACGGATGCTTGGGCCACCCTCCTCCTCCCTCCCACGTCCCCCATAACCTGCAGGTGAATGCAGCCTCCACTCACTTCCCGAGCAGCCCTTGCAGGGAGCCGGAGGTGGACGCCTCTCTGCCAGCAGCCGCACGCACCAGCTCCAGCGCCTGCCGCGCGTCCTCCCACGCTGCCTTCGTGGCTTGCTCAATGGTGTTGGCGGCTTGCAGGTGGCTGCAAAGCACAGGGAGGGGATCATGAGAAAGGTTTCCCACCTGAGTTTTCTCCACCAACTTCCTTTACTGTTGTACTCAGCAATGCCGGATGGCACCCTCTCAGCAAACACAGCGTGTTTGAGAAGAGGACCCATATTTTGCTTGTCCTTCCTGCATCTCCCAAGGGTAGAGGAGCATAGGGGGGAGGCAGATGCTGCATGTTCTAACGGGACACCCATGGGCCAAACCCTGACCCAAAACACACCCACCACCACCCTCAAAGTCAGCCAAGGACAGCCCTGTAGGGCAGCAAAGCCAGCCCAGTAGCCACATCTTCCCTGTCTCCAGGGCAGGCACAGGTGTGGTAGCAGCTGCAGCCTGGTGGCTAGGCAAAGACCCCCAAAAAGGACCTGCTGGGCTCCCAGAAGGATCTCAGTCCCCCTCCCCTCTCTCAGCCAACAGTGGGAGCTACTCACCTGTTTGCCAGTCTCAGAGCCTCCTGGGCCAGTATCAAGAACTGATTTGAGCCCCCGGGAAGGTTTGAAACAGGAATGGTCTGAGGAGGGAGGAAGAGATGTGAGTGCTCTTCCTGCCCTCCATCCAATTCAGCAGTTAGAGGGGCAACTGTGGCACGTTAAACCTCCACAGCCCCCAAGGACACCTGCCAGCACCACTCCAGGTCCCAGCCCTACAGAAAGGGCCACCAGCACATCTTCTGCACTCAGAAAACAAATGCAATAACTAGAATATGTTAAATTCTAGCTCTCTCCGTGGATTTTTGTTCAGCCCTGGGCTAGACTAGGACCGCGTTGCACAAGGATGCTCTTACCACCCGACGCAGAGCGGCTCCGCTGTGGTCCAGGTCCAGCCTGGCTCTCTCGAGCAGCTGCCAGGTGTCCTGCACCTGCCTCTCGTACTGGCTCCCAAGAGACCTCAGCCTCTCCACTGTTGCCTTGATCTCATCCAAGCGTCTCTGGGAGCTGGACCCTTGCCCCTTCATCCTGGCCAAGCGGCTTTCCAGAGACCTGTCAGAGGCTGGTGAGAAGGAAAGAAGGAGGCTGAAGAGAAGCTCATTGCTGAGCAATACCCTCCCCTGATATGGCACAGATGGCCCCATCTGAGGGCAGTGGGCAGGTGGTACCTTGCAAGCTCAGGGCTTCCCCAAGGATGGCCTGCAGCATCTCCTCAGCCAGCTTCATCCTCCCCTCCAGCTCCTGGCTCTCAGCCCCACCGCCAGCTTGCACTTCTGAGAACAGCAGCTCCAACTCCACCAGCTGCTGCAGGTACATGTCCACCTGCAACCACAGCAGACCAGGCCATCAGCCAATGGGATGCTAAACCCATGATGGAAAGACCAGGGTGGGAACCAGGTCCATAGTCTGGCCAGAGGATGGAGAGCAGAGTGAGGGCTCATTTTTGGATTGGGCACAGCAGGGCAGCAGCTCTACGTCATCCTTTTATCACCAGTTGAATCAGGTACAAACCCAAAGTTGAGGCACAGCCTGCAAAATCACTTTTCACTCACACCAAGAGAAGATGCTTGGGAAAGCCAGGAGGAGATGCTTGAGGGTAAGCATATGTCTGTGCTCCTTTCCACTCAGTGGCCCTGGGGACAGCAGAGGTGCTCACCTGGGCTTTCACCTGGCTGTAGCAAGCCGGGCACTCACTCTCTTCACAGTTGGGACCCTCAAAGCCAGGCTTGCAGATGCAGCTCCCATCACTTCCACACTTCACAGGCTCAGCGCCGGCTGAGTTGCAGGCACAGGCTGTGGGTCAGAGTGGCACAGGTTCAGAGGAGCCTCCCCCCACCTCAAGTCTTGGCATGTCCACCCTTCCATCCACCCTCTCCTCCTGCTTTCCTCCCACTGTTTGACCCCATGATCCAGTTCCTCCGCTCTGCTCCCCCTTTCCAGCCTTAGCTTTTTGCAGCATCCCCTTTCCCATCAAGCCACTCTGCACTCTGGCATGGGTTTTCTTACTCATCCCCAACTCATACAGTGCCCCCCTCTCACCTTGACACTTGTCGGCAGGATCAGTGGCCAGGGGATTCCCATAGAAGCCGTCTTTGCAGCGGTCACAGTAGAAGCCTGTGGTGTTGTAGATGCACTTGAGGCACTCGCCTGTCCGGCGGTCGCAGTTCCCCACAGCGTTGGGCTCCACATTGCCATTGCACCGACATGGCTGGCAGGGCCGGAAAGCTGCTGGGTCTCCAAAGTAGCCGTCGGCACAGTACTCACAGTTAGCCCCTGGGAAAAGAAAGATAGGGAGAAGCTCAAGCTCTTGTGCAAAAGGCAGAGGCTGCCTTGCTCCCTCTGCCCCAGAGAAACAGGGGTGTTTAGCCCCATCAGGATCAACACACCACCATCGCCACTCTCTTCGCCACCATTGCCAACACACGATGCTCTGGGCAGGCTCTTAAAAGCTGGGTGTGATGACTGACCTCAGGCAAGTTGTTTCCTATTTGGTTTTTTCCTATTTTTCTATTCCCCTTCCCTCCCCACCCATCCTTTTCCCACCCACATTATCCCTTTAGATGAGAACCTTCCCTGATCAGGGCAACGTGTGTTCACACAGCCCTTAGGGCTGAAACACCCTCTTACAGGCAGGAGCGGCAGCGCCATGGGCAAGCCAGGCTGAGAAGATGGGATGATCCACCCAGCTGCGAGCATCCTGGCCTGCTGGCCCCTGCATCTCCCAGTTGAAGCTCCAGGGAAAAGCAGAGTAGAAGCAACCTGGAGGAGGGCATTACCAGCAGCTCCAGGAGGGCAGTGGTCACAGATGACCTCCTCACTGCCCGGCACCACCGAGCAGCCTTGGCCATTGCCGCAGGGGCATGCCCTGCAGCCGTGTGGCTGCCGGGGGTCTCGGTAGAAGCCAAAGGAGCAGCTGACACTATTGCCCACGTTTTCGTCTGCTGAGTAGCATTCACCTGAAGGAGAAAGGAGAGGGCTTAGGGCAATGTGCTCTCACCCCTGGTGGGACACCCTCCACAACTCCACCGCTTGGCCACCCCTCGCTGTTGGCCATGCCACCCACTGCAGAACAAACAACCCTGGTTCAGCATCCTCCACTGGAGCCCGCGATCCTCACACCTGCCCATACGTGCTCCATTTCTCTGCCCATCAGTCCTTCACCACGCGGGAAGCAGGGGCTCCTGAGGCAGGAGTCCAGTGAGACCACACAGAGGAGCCCATCCCAGGGCATGGAGTCTGGCCATAACCACTCAAAGGTGGATGGGTCTTGTTTTTCACAGCTCACATAGCTCCCAAGGAGCCACACACTGCCTTTTGTGCCTCCCGATCAATGCTTAGATATTTGGAAATGCCAATTCAGACTTGGAAAATAGGGACAACTTAACTTTGCATTACATTGACTTTACATGGCAACACTGGGGACTTTTTTAACAAGACAGGTAGTAAAACATGTTTACGTCACTGATGTCACTGATGCCTACACCACACTTAACTTTAAAACAAAAAGTCAGAAGATTTTTTTTTTTAATGCTATCCAAGCAGTAGGAGATGCTTTTCTCTCTCCAATGAGCATCAGATAAGCCTGATTTGATCCCAATGCATCTTTCCTCTATTTTTGGCCACAGTGCTTCTAGGCTTTGGGGATTTCTACCTGGGATGTTCCCTGCACTCCAGCCCCACAAGCCAAGGATCTCGCCCCACTCAGTGCCCCCCACACTCCCTCTAGCTCAATTCTTGGGATGCAGGCAGCTGTGCTGCGATCCCATACGCCCTACAAGCATAACACGGTGGTGGCTTCTCTTACCTGTGTCGGGATCACAAATTCCTCCCCCCTGGCAATTGCACAACACGCAGATGCTGAATGGGCCCAGGCCAGGGGCATCTCTGCGGTAACCAGGGGCACACCTCTGACAGAACTGACCCTGGTAGCCCACTGGGCACTCGCAGCGCTCCACCCAGGGAGCAGGGACTCCGGAGCTGGGCTGTGCCGACACCAGGGTGACGTTGTCAATGTAGCCGGTGCCTGGAGGGAGACAGAGCCGGTCACCCATGGGCCAGCAGCTCCACCTGGCAAGTCCCCCACACCCGGGACCTGCATAGGTTGCATGTTTCATTACAATGCCTGTGGGCAGATGGCCCGGAGCCAAGGTTTTGCTGTCCCCACTGTTGCCATCCTGCTCAATCTCTCCATAATTTCATTTTTCCTATCTTAGGGCACATTTTTGTTATTATTGTTTATTATTATTATCATTTATTACCATTTAGCAAAGGTGTCTCCATCTAGAGACTTGGCATTTCCAGCAACAGAGAAACCAACCAAGGAGTGCTTGCAAGCTCTCCTGCCACTTACTGTACTCCCCAAAGGTGGCTCGGATCCAGAGAGCTGTCAGGTTTCCCAGCAGCCTGCGATATTCAAAGTGATTCAGCCTTGGGCTCCACTTGCTGCTTGGGTGCTCATCCAACCTGCCCGTGGGAGGGGGGAGAAGTGGAACCGGTTTCAAGAAAATGAGATGCCTCAACAAGAAAATGCAGCAGCCCTCACCCATCTCTCTCCTGAGCCCAAGGCTTCAGGGGACAACCTCCACCCATGCGACTGAGCCCAAGCAAAGTACCCAGCCAAACCTCAAGCCAGATTATCTACCATCCCTCTCACTGTGACCTCCTCATCCAGGAGAGAAGCACCTGAGATGCCTCCAGCCCCAAACCAAGCAACCGTTCGTCACCTCTGAGGGATCACAGCCGAATCCAGGAGCTCCCTGAAGTCACAGCCTTTCTTGCTCATCCTGCCCCAAACACCCCAGCATCCCCCTTTACCTGAATGTGTATGTTTGGCTGACGCCACAGGGCAGGACATTCCCCTGGGGTAAGAAGGGGGCAGTGACTCTCAGGCCATCTCCTTCCAGGACCACATCGTGCGGAGATGGCTGGCGTCCCCCTCGGTCCAGGCGGTAATCAAAGGAGAGCGTTTGGCCATAGCTCAGCTGCTGGTTCCCAAGGAATTTCGCTGTGAAGGCAAGGAAAGAAGAAAATTAAAGGCTTAAAATCTTGCCTTCCTCCTCAAGGCTCAGTTCATGGCATCAGACTAAGCAAAGGGGGCACTGAACGCTCCCCTACACCGATCCCACACCTACCAGGCGCCACAAAGTATATTGGCTCCGACCTCCTCGCTACTATGAAGGTGTCCTGATGGCGTGGGGACCACTGGAGCTGGGCTGGGGACCTGCTTTCATGGATGCCTCGCCAGCCTTCAGCACCTGGAGCACCAAGAAGGAGCAGTCAGCAGGGACAGCGATGGTGCTTCCCAGACTCCAGCATCTTTCTGGAGCTGTGTCTTATCAAAACCTCTGGCTTCCTACCCCTTGACCTCTGAGGGAGCAGCACAGATATCCCTGTGCTGTCCCATCTGGACATGGGCCTTTCCTCCCAAGTGGCAGGAAAGACACAATGCAGCAAGGCTATACTGCCCCCCACCCTTGCACCCTACTTCTGCCTACGATCAAGCCCTTCCACCCATCAAAGCACAGGGACTTCCAGCAGGGCTGCAAACAAGGCAGCTCCTCCAGCACGTCAAGGAGAAGGGGTGGCAAACACCCCCAGGAGCCATAGGGATGTCCTGCTTGGGCTTCACCTTGCTGGAAGGTGGAGGTGATGTTATAGACACTGTAGTTGTCTGCGCTGACACACACAGCCGAGTGCCCATAGCAAAAGCAGGGGGAGCATCCTGCGGGGTTTCTGGCATCCAAGTTGTAGAAGTTTTGCTTGCACCTGGGAAAACACAAGAAGATGACAATGTTCAAGTCCGTTTTCTCCTCTTCCTGGCCAGCACAACCAGCCTTCTAATGACAGCCACGCAACACAGCCATCGACACAGTTCAAGGTCATCCCCAGGCTGGGATGGTGAGACAGGCATGCAAGCACTGCCAGGGATGCAATTGCTAGGGAGATGGAGGACAAGCCACACAGTGGTCCGGCAAGTCCTCCCGACACCCACCTCTCGCAGCGCTCTCCGGTGGTGCTCGCCTTGCAGACACAGCGGCCAGAGAGGCAGCAGCCTGTGCTGCCAGCCGGGTCGCACTCACACTGCGGGCTCCTGCAACAGGGACAGCGGGAACATCCACCTGGATTTCCAGCTTGGCCTGGAAGCTCAGTGCCCCCAGCTGTTACACAAGACAGCAGAGAATCCCCCCCAACTACCAGTCCCATGCTAGAAGGGGAAAAATAGTCAGCAGAGACATCTCCCCAAGTAATCCAGCTGCAACAGTACAGATGCCAGGCTGAGACCCTGCCCAATGGTACTCCCCCAGGACACCCCAGAGCACCAGCTTGCAACTATCCCAGGTGCCTCTCTTTAGCAAGACCCATCCACAAGAGCAAAGCAAAGCTCTGCTGAGCTTAATAAACCCTGGCTGAGCTCCAACAGGCAGCAACACGCCGGGGAGGCTCAGGCAGGAGGCCAGGCACAGCAGCATGGCTGCAGGCAGCCAGCCTGTGCCCCCACCCTTTGCCTGCCGGGACGCTTGAAGGAGCAAAGGCAGGGTGAAGCAAAGAAGAAGAGGACACAGCGCTGAGGAAGCCAAACCAGAAAGACTTTGAAAGGTGTTTAAATGGGACTCCGTACAAAGGAAGGAGCTGGTTTTTGCATTCACACGTTTGCATGGGGCCAGTTCTTGTGAGCGGCACCGACACCGGGCAGACCATGTGTCAGCAGGTTTTAGCTTATGTGGCTAGCCTGGATGGTGCCTGTTTGGCATTATCTGAATAATAAAGCAATCGCTTTGCTCTGTTTTTGATGATACCGTGTGGCAGCAAGCTCTGTAGAAGGAAGGTCCAGCCCCACTCAAGCCTGCTCTGTCCCAGTGACATGAGCTTAGGGCTGTCGGTGTGCTGCCATGAAACAAACTGCCTCTGCCCCTGCATGGGGTGGTTCCAGCCAGCACAGGCTCTTTACAGCAGCTGGGAGAGCTCTGGAGGCTGTCGCTCCAGCTGTTCCCATGCCACTGATGGTCACCAGCACTTACTGCCCATTCCTCCGGCACCCGGCCTCAGAGAGGTACGTGAAGCCCGGCTGGCACTGGTCACACTTCTTGCCCATCACGCCAGGTTTGCAGCTGCACCGGCCATGACTATCACACTGTGGGCCAAGGGCACCTGCAGAAAGAGGGGAAGGAAAGGTTTGGACAGGCACCTCCTGGCGATGCTGCTGGCAGGACAAGGGGAGCAAAGCACCACACTGTCATTGCAGCAGCAATCCCACCTCAGCAACAGGTGTCCCCCACTGGGGTCCCAGCATGGGACTGAGACACTGGGTCTGGCTGTTAAAGCTGCTCCAGCCTGATGCAGAAGACTTGGAGGAGATAAATCCCAGCAGACATTGACTAGATGCCCAGGACAAGGATCATCTTCCCTACCATAAAGGTCATTGTGAAGGACAAGATGGACTCCAGGGCACACAAACCAAGTGGAGAATTAATTCTTTGTTGGACCCTCTGCTAGTAGGCATCTGTGCAACTTTATTTCAGTGCCACCACAAGGACCTTATGAGGCAGAGGGTCATGGTAGGCTCTTCTATTTCTGACCTACCACTGTGCACATGTGGGCATGAGGGGAGAGGAGAGCAGAGCCAG